ATCTCTGGCCTGTACCCCAGTTCTGTTCAAATACATAAATAAATCTTTAAAAAAAAAAAGTCCAAAGGTAGGTACATGAACTTTCCCCCATATGTCCCTTTTTTTTTAATTGTGATAAGCAGATATACGTAATATGAAAGTTGCCATTTTAACCATTTTCCCCATTTGTCTCTTAGTTATCAAGGCTTCTTGTCACTTTCCCAGACCAATGGATGCTGAAGAAAACAATACAGATGGACTAAGAGAAGGATTTTGGCAAAGTATACCTATAGGCCAAACCCTGTTTACCTATGGGCCCGCCAGCTCTTTATGTACGGCCCACAAGCTAAGAATGGTTTCTAAAATTTTAAATGGTTGTAAACAATCAAAATACTTCATGACATATAAAAATACATGATTGTTAACAACTACATCACTTTTAATTTTAAGTACAATGGTGATTCTATCTTCAAAGAAAGAGTATTATTTGTTGCATCAGGGCATCAGGCAACACCACACTGATAAAGAAACGGGTGTCATGCAACTCCTATGGCCAGGCAGTTCTGACTTTGCTTTAGGAATACAGAACTCCTAAATGGGTAACAAAATGGAAGCTGAACAAACCACTTAGCCTCAGCAGACCCACAATTACTTTAAAAAAAATAAAAATTGGGGCTTCCCCAATTTTTAGTCTGGTAGCACAAGGGGTTAAGTCTCAGCACTATGAAGCTATCAGCAGTGACCACAGCATGAGTTTGATCCCGGCCAGGGAGCTGACCCACATGGTGCATTAGACCTCTCCTATTTCACCTGCTACTCCCCTCAGCAGTGTATTTCTTTTCTTTTTTTTTTTTTTAAAGATTTATTTATTTATTCATACAGAACTGGGGTACAAGCCAGAGGCTCAGGGGCGGTGAGAGGCTTCACCAGAAACAGAGTGGGGAACAGAACAGGCAGATCGATGAAGTACACTGCTGAGGGGAGCAGCGGGCGGGTCAGGAGAGGTCTGCCACGCCATGTGGTCACCTCCGGGGCAGGCGGGAATCGAACTCATGCTGAAGTGGCTTTAGCTTCTCAGTGCTGTGCTTTAACCCGCTGCGCCACCAGGGAGGGCCCAGCAGTGTATTTCAATAGATCTGCCTGTTCTGCTCCACAGTCTTTCTCTCACCCTACCCCTCACACTCCAGCTCTTGTATATGTAAATAAATAAATCTTTTCTTTAAAAAAAAAATTAAATGAAATTAAAATTTCATTTAATTTGAATTTCAGTGCTCATAAAGGCCTATGCATTTAGATTTTATCTATGGCTACTTTTGCCCTACAAAGTCAAAAGTTGAGTAACTGCAGAGTTGTACATGACCCTAAAAGTCCAAATTAGTTACAATGTGGCCCTTTACAAAAATGTCTGCCAACTTCTGGTTTAGAGTCTCAGATATCCTTATAGGCACAAACATTCTGAAGAGAGTATATTGCCCATCATCCAAAATCCTTAACCTGTTTAAAGCACTTTATCTTCATCATTTATGCTGTTGATATAACTATGCTAAATCATAAGTGAGAATACAAATAATATCTATATTAAGCATACCAATTTGCTGCTAATTAGTAGTAAACCTAAGTGGAACTCCTTGCTTTAAGATTTATAAAAAGGTCTCATTGCCTATCTCAAACATTGTAATAGCTTTGTCTAGGACTCAAAATAAATTTTTCAAAAAGATCAAAGTTCTTTGATACCAAGCCAAAACTTTTTCTTAAAATATTCAAAGCATGAAAATAACTGGTATGCAGTTGGTCAACTCTACTCCCCTTAGCTCCCATGTTGCACACAGGTATTTCTATGAACATTACTTAAGTTCCCAAGAAGGCTGGGGCTCTATAGACTTTCTGAACCTCTCACTGTTAAGTGAACTCATGGGTTCTAAGCCAAGACACACTGGCTAATGAACTACTTCTAGATGAGGAGTTAGATGAGAATGAACATCAACTATAAAAGACTATTCACAGCAAAGATAAACTGTATTGAGAAGTTTTTTCTGATGCGCATCAACAACCAAGCAAGTAGTCTGCCTTAGGCAGAAAAGGCAAATAACTGAAGTTCACCCAGACTTTTTCATTTTTCCTATTTCTTAGTCTCTCCTATGGTCAGTAAGACCAAAATAGGAGTCCACATCAGAAAGCTCATCAGTCACATGAACCTGGTGGCTTTGCTCTTTGAAAATGGAGTCTAGATCCCAACTATTAGGAGCCTTCCTGGTGGCCTATGGGTTAAATCTCGGCACTATTATCACTGTGGCCAGAGTTTGAACCCCCACCAGGGAGCTAATGGACATACTGCTCAGCAGATCTCTCCTGTCTCACCCACTGCTATCCTTTGGCAGGGTATTTCAGTAAATCCTCCTGTTTGCTCCGCACTCTGACTCTGGTGAATCCTCTCAAACCTGGTACCTCTGACCTACACTCTAGTTCTATGCATGAAAAAAAAAAAAAGAACTCAAGAACTCACTATGAATTTCTATCTTTCTTCTTATCAGTTGTAAAGGGAGAATCTCAAAGGAAGAACAGAAAGAAGGGAGATCATGTGAGGTTGGCTACACACTATAATTAGAAGCATTGATGGGGAATGAGCTAACTGTTTTTATAAAGTCAGCATTCAAAAATGCAAACCACCACCAGTAATTTAAATATTACAAAATTATGCAGAATATAAGCATTGAAATAATTTTTTCCATCCACAAAATTTTAGAGAAAATTATAGTATCAAAAAATGTAAAATAGTAAGTCTGGCATATCCTCAGAGTAAAACGTGTTTTTTATTGGAAAGGATTTTAAAAAGTAGTGGGTAGGCTCTAGACAGGATATGATGCTGAAGACCATGTGATAGCACCTTAAAACTAAAGAGAACAAGTCATACAAACAATAATAATATATATCAACATGGTAGGGAAAAGAATTGGCAAGTTATACCAAGCTTCTCAAAAAACATTTTACAGTGGGTATTTACTTGTCTCTAACTCAGATTCCCAAATAAAAGCACACCAAGGTTTGTGGTTCAAACTACAGTTACATTTAATCCTTCCTAGCAAAACAAGGTGCCTGACGAGAGGAAGCCACCTTCTTACGAGTATAAGCAGAGTTGACTCATTTAACAATTTTCAAAACTATTACTCTACACTTTGCAGAAGAGGACCTAGTTTATTTCTACCCACATCTCTTTCTCTGTAGAAATTATTAAATCCTGACCACACAGATGGCACAGTGGAGCTAAGGGGTTACTAGGTTACAGTTACATTGACATGTCCTGCCTCTCTGGATGTTCCTCCTTCATTCCACAACATTAGTGATCAAACTATGGAAGGCCCTTAAAAGGCCGCTAGCATATAGAAGCCATCTATGAGGCTAATGTTTACAGCACTTCAAGACCCCTGTTTCACTAATTTAAAGTCAATCTTTGCCTTTTACAGGAATTACTCAGAGTAGAAGCTCATGGCGTTACCTCAGAGCAAATGAGGTATCTAGTACTTGGTGAACTGTGAAGCACTATAAAAAGTGTTATTAAAATATGTTTACTGACGGTCCTCTATACGTGGGTGTGTTACCTGCAGTGTATCATTTAATAATCTTCATAACACCCTGCAAGGGAGTCATCTTTCCAGACCAGAAAACTGAGGCTCAGAGAACTGAAGGCAGAGCCCAGAGCCACACATTATGTGACAACCACATCCTATCTTTTCATTAATCCAAACTGGTCCTAAACAAAGCTATTTTGAGTTTTCTCTCAGCAGCAATCTCCTGTCTTTCCGATATCCGGTTCTGGGTGGAGAAACCAGAGGTCAGTTTTCCTACTTAGGCAAAGGAGCAATGAAACCTTCTTTCCCTTTCACTAAAGCCCAATTCTCGACACTCAAACAACCTGCAGAGAAATGTAACTGGGCCAGACAACGCCCTTTGCCTGCCTGTTCTTCAACTTGGAAAGAGTTCTGCGGCAAAGAAGGGTGTGTGTGTGCAAGCTAAGCAAAGCTCCAGCTTCCATCCTGATCGTGGGCCCCACTACCCAACTACCTGGCCTTGATCAGGAAAACCCGCAACCTTGTTTAAACAGTGAGGTTGCCAGGGACTCTGTGTAGAACCCTCAGGATAAGACCCTAAACTGCAGGGGTAAAGGTCCCACACCACTTTCCTTCTTGTATTCGTCCTGCTGGGCCGGCACGGAGTCAGAGTCATGAGGAAATTCAAAGGGGCCCGGGGGGAGGGGGGGGGTAGCGTGCGTGCGTTCTGGCTGAGATGCGCGGGGTCGTCCCAGGACCTGGATCTGCCTCTGGGAGGGCAGACTCCTTGCGAGGCAGAAATTAGTGTTGGGCAGCCCGACCAGGCCAGGGCTGGGTGCTAGCTCTTCCGCTGGGAGGCACGGGGGGGGGGGGGGGGGGGGGCGCATGTCACTTCGGTCGTGGGGGGTGGTCCACGGATGGAGGCAGGAGGGGAGGGCTGGAGGTGGCGGGACACCTCCCGGGCTTGTGGGGGGGGATCCCGGCCCGCGGTGCCACTAAGAGGACTGGGGAGGGGGGTCTGTGTCCTGAGGTGAGGTGGAGGAGGGTCCTGGCCCGAGATATGCCGCGGAGAGGTTTGGGGACAAGGGTCCCTGGGGCAGAGGGGTCGTCCCAACCCCGGGGAGAGTCTTGAGGGACTTAAAAAAGTTGTCCCAGATCCTGAAACACAGAAGACGGCTGAGCCCTGGAGCGGTCGCTGAGGAGCTTGGCGAAGGGGTCCCGGGAGATACTGAGACCGAGAAGGTGTCCGGGCCTGGGGGGCATTGCCGAGGAGGGTGGGCACCCGAGGAGTGGCTGAGGGGTCTGGGGAGAGAATCCTGAGGCAGGGGCCGGCCGGGCCGGGGGGCGTCGCTGAGAGGCTTAGATAAGGAGTCCCGAAGGCAGGGACGAGGGTGCAAGGTTCCCCGGACTGGCCAGCCTGCATCGCCCCTCGGGCGTACTCCACGCTGGGAGGGCGCCAGGGGGTCGCTCACTCACCGGGTCCGGGGCCGAGGCCGAGGCCGGGGCTGGGCGCGGGCCGGGC